TTTACACCTATAAATCCAAGATGACAGCTCTTGTACCATCAGAGAGGGATGTTTTTACACTTTCTTGTTGCAGGCATGGCAGTGATTCACGTGTGTTTCGTTTGGAGTTTGTCTCAAATCAGGAATTTACTGAAAGTGAGTTTATGAAGTGGAAGGAAGCGGTAAGTTTTCCAGACTTTTGTTTCTTCTTAGCAGCCTTCAGCCATGGATACTTGAAGTGGAAAGTAACCTTTTTGTCCCCTGTGTTTAGATGTTCTCTGCTGGGATGCAGCTACCCACACTAGATGAGATAAACAAGAAGGAAGTGTCCATCAAAGAAGCCCTTAACTACAAGTTTAATGACCAGGACATTGAGGAGGTAAACAGTGTGTTGTTTTGAGGCTGTGGTAGTGCTTAAAGGTGACAGGAACTCATGGAGTAGACCGCTAGCTGTTACAAAGCAAAACGATCATCATATTTGCCTCCTAAGAAGAAAATAACGGGCTCAAAATGAAGTTGAATAATTGGATAGAGTAGCTTGGTGATCCAACTGTTGTTTGGTGCTCACTCCTATTTTTACTTCATCCTTCGTGCCCTGTTACCTCCTCTTGAACTTGTGTTGGAGACCTCTGAACTCCTAACCTGAGTGTAGCAACTTAGTTCTCAAGATCTGAAAAGCTAACAGCATCGTGATAGATGCATTTATCGCAGTTTCTGCAGTTTAATACTTGTTTAATATTGACCAAATGTGATTAGCATCAGATTTCTGTAGGTTGTAAGTGAGGGGAATGGAGCTGTAACAAGTCACAGATTAAAAAAATGCAGCAGAGAAAGAGCATGAGTAAAATTCTGTGACAGCAAGTACCTTTCTTCAGTGATACTGATCTGTTGCTTCTAGTGTCCAAGTATTGAAATAGACATTTCATATTTGCATATTCTTGCTGTTTCCTCTACATCTTGCAGATTGTGAAAGAGAAGGAAAGGTTCAGAAAAGCACCTCCAAATTACGCTATGAAGAAAACTCAGCTGCTAAAGGAGAAGGTGAGAGATGATGCCTGCAAGCTTAATGTAGTCTTTGATTTTGAAGAACTGGAGCACATCTGGATTTTGGGAGTAGTCAGCAGTAAGCTTGACTTTAACTATGCAGCTAAAAGGTGGCTCTCAAGGTTCATTGCTGGGTTCAGAACACTTAGAACCCAGTAAAACTTGAATTCTCAAACTGGGATATTTTCTAAGTGCAATTGCCAAAAAATTATAGCTGTCTCTTTATGTCCTTTAAACAAAAAGGTCTTCAGTTGTTCTCCTTTAGAAACTCTTTTTAGGGTACTCTCTAGTAACATTTGCAAGTTGATTTCCTATACTTTCCAAAATAAATCACACAGAATCACAGAACGTTAGGGATTGGAAGGGACCTCCAAAGCTCATCCAGTCCAATCCCCCTGCCGGAGCAGGAACACCCAGATGAGGTTACACAGGAAGGCATCCAGGCGGGTAAAGAAAAGTAAAGAAAAACTAAGTCATGTTAAATTGCCTTTTACTCAGGGGTGACTGAATTGTAACTTTACAGCCAGTAATTTATATTGAAAAGAATATGTTTCTGAACAACTTACTTGTCACTGAACCGTTTTACATTAAGACCTCCTGAAACGAGTAAACCTAACTGTGCTGAGAAGCCAAAGCCAAGTCAAGTAAACAAGCAGTCTTAAGTATCTCTAAAGATAGGCATAACAAGTCTTGTTAGGATTTATTTGTGCAGTCCTTTTTCAAGACATTCGTGCTTCATACACAGTGAAAACAAAGACTTTGTATTAATCTTTAGTTCTACGTCCTTTGTTTTAACTGTATTGTTTGGTCATCATTTTACTATGCCTGAATATGGAAATCGTTGGTTTTCCATTGCAGAAGAGTGCAATTGCTTTTTGTTGTCACCAGGTGGCATAATAAGCTACTGGTTTTGGCCTGGTGCTGAGGGAGGGGACTCTCCAACTCCCTGAAATAAGTGGCAACTGACAATTGCAGAAATAAAAATTATTTTCCTGAGGTGGTACATAGTGATATTAAATATTAATGTAACCCGTAACTTAAATTATCTAACTGACTGGCCCTCCTTATAGGATTAGTGTTCCTACATCATCTTAATTTAAGGGGTTTCAAAGGTTTTCAGAATCCTTCAGAGTTAGAAGTCCCGTTTTGCCTTGAGCTGTAAGGAGAGTTTAGTTCTTTGTTGTATTGCCACCATGCGAGGTAGAACATTTGCAAGTGGAATAGGGTGAGCTGGCCGATTCATGCATCTGTCCCTTGTTTCTTTGACTAGCTCTATGGTAGAGAGTAGAGCTAATGAGTTACTGTTTGATTGAAGGCTATGGCTGAGGACTTGGGGGACCAAGATAAGGCCAAACAGATTCAAGATCAGCTTAATGAACTTGAAGAGAGAGCAGAGGCCCTGGATCGTCAGCGAACAAAAAACATTTCTGCAATCAGGTAAGAAGCAGATATTGGGAATTTTCTGTCTTAACTAGTATCAATCAAAATCTACAGAGAAGCAAAACCAATGCAGTAGTGAATTAACTGCAAAATATTTTCTCTTCTTTCCTGGGCACTATGTTAATGAAATGTGTATCATGATGGCTTTATTAGTGTTTGCCTGTCTTCAATTGAAACTGTTAAAACTGTAAACACTTCCACATACCCCAGGTAGCAGTTGTGTTGCAGTAAGAGTAATTTATGATCAGAATGAAGCTGCAAGAATGCTGTCAGGTGATCTGTTGTGTAAGGATTGAGAAATGACAGTCACTTTTTTTTTCTTGCTCCCACCCTCCTTTTTTGTCTTTTCTGCAGTTACATCAACCAGAGAAATAGAGAGTGGAATATTGTTGAATCTGAGAAGGCTCTTGTGGTAAATTGTGCTGAATTAATACTTTTGTACAAGTAGAGATGAAATGATGCAAGGGGAGATAAATTGCGTGGTGAAGTTATTTAATTTTTTAATGATCTATAAAATCTTTCAGAGAGGCAAATGGCATGATTTTAAAGCAGATTGCATTGTCCTTTGATCGACTCAATTATCAGCAGTTTACTGACTGTAATAGTGACTTGGTACATTTTGCATGGGAAAGAAATCAGAAAGGAGACTACAGAGAATAAAGTAGTAAAGGAACTACTCTATTCTCTGCAGTGACACATCTATTAAGGAAAAGTTAAGCTTGTTAGCAAATGGTTAAGCCTTAACTGTCTGAGAGTTGTGCACCGATTTTCTGTGTTGTATTCAATAAGGACAGCTTTGCCCTGTGAAGCACAGGACTGTGGGTGGGTCAAAATCTTTCTAATCTGTAGTGCTATCGCCGGTTTTCCTCTGGTCTTCATATTATGTATAGCTGATGAGTCCTTGCATGGTTGGGGTGCTGTGGGACTGTTTACAGGGGTGCAAGTAGCTAACTTTGCAAAACCATGTGCTTTTTCTCAGGCTGAAAGTCACAGCATGAAAAACCAACAAATGGACCCCTTTACCAGGCGGCAGTGCAAGCCCACAATAGTGTCTAATGTGAGTGTAATACTTCAGTTCCATTGAGGCAATCTGCAGAGAAACAGAAACTCATGTAATGCAGAGAATAGAAAGGAAAATGTTGATTGTGTTCATTCCCAACTGTGCCATATGCTATTAATGCTCCAGATGTCAGGGTGAGCTATAGTTGAGTGAGATCCTGGGCTCACCATCCCAGGAGAAGGAAAAAGCAACTATTATTTTTTTTCAGTGCAAAGTGTGAAGGACATAAATAATGTGGGTATGTACATGCAGAAGCAACTGTGGTTTAGACCTCTGTAAAGAGGTTTTTTTCTATGGAGAATTACTCACATTTAGTTAGCTGTGGGAAGACAGTTTGCTTTAGGTGTGAATTTCTCTTCTAATTAGTTGAAACCTTCCTGAAAGATCTGTGAAAGGAAAGAGGAGACCTGAGATTTTGGGCCTGTGATGGATAAAGTAGTTTAACGCAAACTTCCTTCATGTAACTGTGGAAAAACCTGCTACTGCAATCACTAGCCATATAAATGATGTATAGCAAGGTGATCAACTCCTACTTCTAAACAATCTGGCTTTTTTGAGGCCTGTTGTGGAACAGTATGTGGTTTTGATATCAGTACTTTAAAACAATCTGGTCAGGTTGGCTCTCATCAGTCTCCACAAACTGGCAAGGGAATAGAAAAGGAATTTTATTGCAGGACTTTCTGAAATAATTATTAGACAAGAATCATAACTGAATAGCTTTATTATGGTAGGCAACTATTATGTAAAGAAAGTAATCTTCTCTCTAGTAGAGTGTTTCAGCCACAACTGTAAGCTGAAAGCAAATACATCCAACGATAGTGTTAAGACTGGTCATGGGTGCAGGAAATGTATCTCTCATTTTCTCAAAGAAAGACTTTCTGAAGGATGACTTTTAGTTTGTTACTGTCAGATGCATTACACAGGTATCAGGATGATTTCAGTTGTCTCTGAGATCCTGAAGATTGGGCTAAGTGATCTGCAGCCTCTTACGGTTTTAGATTCCTGGATATGAGCACTGTTTTAACAAAATGGCAGTATAGTTTTTGCCAATTAAAATATAGTGATTTTTTTTTTCCTTTCCTTTTTTTCCTCCTCCCCCCCGCAGTCCAGAGATCCTGCTGTCCAAGCTGCCATCCTTGCCCAGCTAAATGCAAAATACGGGTCTGGTGTATTACCAGATGCTCCAAAGGACATGAGTAAGGCAAGTTTCCATTTCTGTCTCTGTTGTTCCTTCCACTGTTACCATTTTGTTCTAGAAGCTTATGACTAATAGTAGATGACATGCTTCAGTTCTAGGAATAGGTATATCCTGTAGAGCATTATCTTAGAAACAGCTTTTTCTTTCTTGAGGAAAGAAAATTAAGTTTCTCTAGCAGTATGAAAGCTAAACGAAGTATGTTTGAGACAGAAGTGGGGGAAAAGCACTTTTATCTCTGTTTATCTGGACAGATAAGTGTTAGAGACTTATCTGTAGTTTTTATTTCAGGGTCAAGGAAAGGATAAAGATGTGAACTCTAAATCAGCCAGTGACCTCTCAGAAGATCTTTTCAAAGTGCATGACTTTGATGTAAAGATTGATCTTCAGGTTCCCAGTTCAGGTAGGTGTTACAGCTGCGTGTGGGGTTGTGCATGTCCAAAAATCATTGGTGGGCTTTTGAAAATGGAAGCAAGGTCTTCATGTTTGTCATCTTGGCAAGTATTTTGGGGTGCATTAAGAGGAGTGTGGCCGGTAGGTCAAGGGAGGTTATCCTCCCACTCTGCTCTGCCCTGGTCAGGCCACATCTGGAACACTGTGTGCAATTCTGGGTTTCTCAGTTCAAGAAGGACAAGAAACTACTGGAGAGAGTCCAGTGTAGAGCCACTGAGATGATGAGGGGACTGGAGCATCTCCCATATGAGGAAAGGCTGAGAGAGCTGGGGCTATTTAGCCTGGAGAAGAGGAGACTGAGGGGGGATCTCATCAGTGCTTATAAATGTCTAAAGAACAGGTGTCAGGATGGGACCAGACTCTTCTTGATTGTGCCCAGTGACAGGACAAGGGGTAATGGTCACAAACTGGAGCACAGGAGGTTCAACTTAAACATAAGGAAAAACTCCTTCACTGTAAGGGTGACAGAGCACTGGAACAGACTGCCCAGAGAGGTTGTGGAGTCTCCTTCTCTGGAGACATTCAAACCCCACCTGGATGTGTTCCTGTGTGATCTCTGGGTGATCCTGCTCTAGCAGGTGGGTTGGACTGGATGCTCTTCAGAGGTCCCTTCCAACCCCTACCATTCTGTGATTCTGGAATCTTGAACTGAGTAGGAGGGTGTGTGTGCTAGTGACATACATTGAGAAAACAAGAACAACTGTATTGTGTTAGACTGAAAGCCTGTATATTCCCATATCCTTGCCAAAATCCTAGGGAGAAAAGGAAGTAGTAAGTGTTTTCTGATGTACTCGTCCAGTCTACAGTATTTATGATTTGCATAATCTTTGGGGAACAGACCAAGAGTGTTGTATTTAATAAGCCTTGATAGCTACTTGATACATACATACTTCATTAATTGGTCTAATCACTTCTGAATACAGATAAGCTTTGGGTGTCTGTGATGTCCTGCTCCATTATCTGTGTACATGCTATGTGGTTAAAGTATTTTTATTTGATTTTGAGCTTGCTGCTGTACCAAGTTGGTATTGCAGATGGTATTGAAGCAAAATTTTAGGGGAACCAAAACACTAGGCAGGGAGTGAATGTATGCTTACAGACATGAACTTGCTGACCCTTCCTCTTTGTGATCTTGACTTTAAGAGCCTGAGATGTGTGGCAAGAACAGTTTGGTGTCATAGAATCCTAGAATCATTTAGGTTGGAAAAGACCCTGAAGATAGAGTCCAGCCATTAACCTAATATTGCCAAATCCACCACTAAACCATGTCCCTAAGCACCACGTCTACACATCTTTTAAATGCCTCCAGGGACGGTGACTCAAACACTTCCCTGGGCAGCCTGTTCCAATGCTTGACAAACCTTCTAGTGAAGAAATATTTCCTAATATACAGTCTAAACTTCCCTTGGTGCAGTTTGAGGCTGTTTCCTCTTGTGCTTTTGAGCCATTTTCCAGTGGAGGGAAAGCATGGGAGTACACTAGTGCAATTTGACTCATAAGGCTTATTTTTTCTTGCATTACTGGAAGGATTAGAGTTGAAATTTATTGGAGGATAACAGTTTAGGAAGTACTCTGAGAATGCACAAAGACTTAAAACCTTGTCAAGAAGGGAAAGTAGGACAGCTTGTCTTTCCAAACTAGGTCAGGATTTGAACTCTCAACACAAGAATACAGAATGAGGTAGGATGCCAAGACTAGGAGACTTCCTGAAGCAGATAGTGAGAGTTACAAACTTCAAACAGCAAGCAGATAAGGGTTAGGTACTGAAGGACATTGAAAACCAGTAAGGGGACTGAAAAGAGAGGGATGAGAGAAACACAGTATATGTAGAGGTTTAAGTATGGCTGGTTTGGTTTTTTCCTCAGAGAGAACACCATTTCGGCATCTTGCTTTGAGCAGCGTCCTTTCTTAACTGAAGAACTTAGGAATTGGTTAAAGTTTGTATTGCAGACATGAATAGGAAGTTTGACTTCTGTCTACTTATTATCTGTCTCTTTGTGCTTGCTATTCTCATGGGATAATGATTTATCAAAGATCCCAGAACTGAGCCCGAAGGCTCTGTTTGTATTGTGATTTCCATGTGCTATAGAATAGTTCTTTTAAGAAGTGAAAGTACACTTATCTGCAGAAAGCTGGATTAACAAACATTAGCAAACAAAATTGCACATGCTTTATCTACCAGATAGCTGCCTGTGTTACTAACTGAAATTCTAACCTGATGAAGCCAAACACCATTTTGTGGTGAATCTGTTGGCAAAAACAGCAAGTAAAAATCTGTAGCTTGAATGTATTTCGGTCCTCACTCTTTTTTCTTATCCCCAACAGAATCTAAGGCACTGGCCATCACCTCCAAGGCTCCACCAGCAAAAGATGGTGCCCCTCGGCGATCATTGAACTTGGAGGACTACAAAAAGAGGCGGGGGCTTATTTGAGCGTGCCCACTCTGCTGCTTCTGATCCTGCATGCTCCATGACAATGTCCTACCTTTTCTTCCTCCCTTTTCAGTTCTCCCTTCTGGGTTGGAGCAGCAACGGAGCTGGGAAGGACTCTTTAAAACTGCCAGTCATCTGTAACATAAACCATTCAACTATTTACTGTATAGACCTCCCTTCTTGCCCTTTCCTCCTGCCCCCCTCACAAATGTGGATCTGTGCTATTTGGGGTTTTCCCATTTCTTTTAGTTTGAGTTTTGTTTTTATTTTGTTGATGCAATTCATTGGTCCACTCTGTGTTCAGTATTAGCCTGAGGTCTGGATTTCCATAGGAATCTCTTGGTGGTCGCTGAATCAGCACTTGGCGATCTCCCCTTACCACCACAGGCACGGTGAATAAACCTTGGCGCAAGACCTTTATGGCTGGAAGGTCATCTGCACTTTTTTTTCCTCCTTTTCTTCCTCCTTCATCCTAGCTTTGGAGAAGGGAATCTTCAAAAACTGGCTTAGGTTCAAAGTGTAAATTTTTTTGGGAGGGTTGTGTGACTTTTTTTCAGGTGTTTTTTATCATTTTTAAGCTGCAGTACTATTTGTATCCGTCTGTCACAGTTCTTTACGGCTGTTTCGAATTTCTACCAGCTGTACTTGAGCATCTGAAATTGCAAGAAAGAAACTCATTAAATGTGATTCTTCTTACTAAAACGGCTTGACTGATATAGCTGTTTAACTTCACGTTCCCTTTTTAACTTATGCTTAACTGGTTAGAGGTACACAGCTCTTGATGTGGGACTTGTCACCTGGACTCTCCAGCTGTAACTGAGTGGAGTAGCTTTTTTCTGGGATGGCCCTGGGGTGCTCATTGGTTGGGCTTCAATTTCTTCTACAAGTCTCCGATATTATATATTTGTTAAGTCATCACGTTGTCACTGGGCTCCAGCTGACTCTGTTTCTTGCTTTGTGAACCATTTAAATGGGGCTTCTATAAACAAAAAGATTTTTTAAAAATACGTTTTGTGTGGAAGGGGAAGGACACAGTAAGGGCGCAGTAGAAAGGTCAGTGGGTAATGTACGAGAGGTAGCTGATGCACATTTTTCATATATAAACTGGTACAAGTGGAGTGCAACAGTAGCACAGGAATTGTATGGCTTTATGGAATATTTGACTGGACACGAGGTGACAGCTAAAGTATCACTCAGGTGTAAAAAGAAGAAAAAAAAAATCAAAGTGTAAATATAAGTGACATTTAAGAAAGAACTTTTCCAAACAAGACACAACTGAATATATGGAGCTAAGAACTAAATTAAAAGAGAATTAGAAGTCTAAAAAGTTAGAGGCCCTCGTTCAGGTAAGCGTGAAAGCACATGTTTGGTCCTACTCAGGCCAGTACGTTTATAGTAACTTCACCACTGAACTGGATGGGAATGCTTCTGGGGGGACCCTGAAGAGGGAAAATGCTGATGCTCTTCTTGTGTCAGAGCATTACTGTTTTTCTGAAATCATACACTGGTTACGTTTAAACCCGTGTTTGATACTTTCTTGTTGGATTCTTAATGAAACTTTAATCTAGTTCTTATATAACTTTCTCTTCCTTTTTTAACAGTAGCTTTAAAGAAACAACTCGTGATTGTGTGCAGATTGATACTATGAACTGTGTATAAAAAGAAAATCAACCTATGAAGCAGCTCTTACCTACCATGTAAACAAATTATTAGAAATCCTTGAACACTTATTTACTGAATACTCCATACTTCTAAGACACACGTGGATTATTCTGTAAATACATAATTGTAGACTGCTTTATTTGATGGCCTATTTTAGCAGCTTCTCTGGAGTTGTAGTAGGCTCTCACATATATGTAATTTTAACTTTTTAAGAGTGGGTTTATGGAATCTACCATGATGACTTCGTAGGAGACATCGTGATTCACTGTGTAGATACGCATTTGGTATGATTTTATTTTTTTTCAACAGCTTCAGTGATGTTACAGATTTGTAATAAAAAAAGGCTAAACTTATTTCACAATAGCTGGTTTCCAAAATAGCCGCTCTCTGATGCTTTGCAGAAATAATTGCCAAATCAAGTGATTCAGAAACTGATTTTCCCACAGAAATGCCTCAGAGCTCTGAGGTGCAGTGACAAGTGGTCTCTAAAGGTAAAGTTAACTTAAATTCAGTATTTTTAATAGGCTTGCCCTTGATGTATTGGGTTTAGGTAACTTCTACATCTGGTAACACAAGAATAGTCTGTACTGCAGCCAAAATGTCGACAAGACCCGTACAGTGTTGCAAGTAACTCTTAGTGGAGGTAACTGAAACAGAAGAGATACAGGGAGTTCAGGATGGAGATCGGAATGATGGACTATGTCCCAGTTATCTGCAACTATGAAACTGCCACTTATCCTCTCAAACTCTCTGAATTCTGCTGAAATACTGGTTTTAAGAGAGGGAACAGTCAGTAAATTATCATGCAGACCTCTTATGTTGAGAATAATACATCAAGAAAGTACTCTTGAGTAGTTACAGAACTGTATATGAAAGCTGTAATCTTTTTTCCTTTAAGTGCATGTAAAGGTGAGTGACTACGTCTCCCAGTCATTAGAGAGGGGGAGATTTGTTTGCTTTGTTTTATTGGTGTCCTAGCATAGTTCATCACAATTGTACAGACTTCTATAAATAAACTTGGTTTGTTGGTTTAATAAGGTTGATTGTTCATCCCTTGATCTGAGGTGCTAAGGGTTTCCTGTCTGGAATTTTTTTGGTGTTTTGTTTTGTTGGTTTTTTTTCAGAAACTATTTATTTTGTTTAAAATACTAACACTGTAAAATTAATTATGTAAAAGTAAGTTCCCTCTTCTGCAAGAGCAGCTGTTGACTGCTGGATCACTCTCCAATGACTGGAGTTGCTCCAGGATCAAACAGAGTCAGTTCACTTGCACCTCTGCTGCAGCACCCAAAAAACACAGACTTTGCTCATCCTGTAGAAATCCAGACTACTTTTGTAACCAATTATGCTAAAGCATGTAACTTAACTTGGAGAAGCTACTGAATGAGTTGTAGCAAGACCACTCTCAGAGGGTGCTTGGTGGGAGGATGAGACGCGACAGGCCTAAGTTGAAACAGGAAAAGTTCTGCCAGGATGTAAAGGAAAACTTTTTCACCCTTGGGACAGTCAGAGAATGGAGCAGGTTGCCCAGAGAGATTGTTCTGTGTCTAGTTTGGAGATTTTCAAGAGAAAACTGGATTAAGTCATGAGTAGCATGATCCAACCATGTAGCTTACTCAGCTTTGAGCATGAGGGTGGACTGAAGGCCTCCCTGAGCTCTCCTCTGACCTGAATTATCCTATGATCCTATAAGTAATTTCGTATTGGTTTCTCCAGTTTCGTCTGTCTTCCCTGTGTGTACTGTCCCCTTCCCATCTCCCTACGTGCAGCACACAGAATTTGTCTCATGAATATGGTGGCTTACCATGAGCAGTGTGGCAGTTCCCAGCACAACCATCCGGGTGTGTATGTCTACAGAACTGGTGCTAGGGCTGCCTGTGAAACAAAATTGTCTCTAGATTTATCACTGAACAGGCTGGAACACTCAACCTCTTATACTGCAGCTAAGATTTGATTAGCAAAGTGTTCCTTTGCACTGAGAACAAAATACATTTTGAGTTTTCCACTTTCTTAAGAGCTTTTTAAAATGCATATGCTTTTAAGCTGCTTTGCAAGGTCACAGATTTTTCAAGGAGTCTTTAGTCCAAAAGGTCCTAAGGTTGGGTTCACAGTTTTTAACTGGCTTTGGGAAGGACGGTCAACCAAGGGAAAAAATGGGCCTCAAAGAAAAAGAAACTAGCTGCGAAGAAAGTGCTTCACAACTAGTTCAGTCCTCATAGAAGGTGGAAGTTAGAAGAAGGTGAGAACTGAAAATCGTGAGTTGGCACAAAGGCTTCCCTGGTTATGCATTCTGGGGAGTGAAAAGGCATGTGGATGTCATCTGGAATTTTGACTTTGATATTTTTGTAGTTCCTCCCCATCTTAACTAGAAGATAGTTCAGCTTGTCCAAACCACTTTAGATTTGACTTTTGGGGTTCTTTACTATAGGAAATCAGTGCTGTAAATTTGATACTTAAGCTACTGATACATGTGCAGTCTTACTGCCTTCAGCACATAACAGTCTTTTAGAGGGAGATGCTTAAGTAGTCAAATAAATGGGTGAATCCTCTTTTTTAGCTGGAGTGGTTAAGCACTCGCTGGTTCTGCCTTATCACCATCACCAACCACTTGAAATTTTAGTCACTCCCCCCACTCAGCAGCTGAAGGAATATCACATGAGCAATTTCTTTAGTCTCATACTATGTGGAGTTATCTGGGTCAAAAAAACCAAACCACCTAAACAAAAAAAAAGCCTGAATTTCTGCTTTGTCAGTTGGACTGCATGAGTAGTAAACATGAAGGGAGTTGTGATGGTAAGATCTTCAACTTTTCCAGCAGTTTGGAAAGCCAGCCATTAGATACTCCCTTGGGGTTCTTTGTCTTGACATCTATCTAAATGCTAAAGGCTCCTGTGGCCCAACTGTGTCAAACCCTAGCGAGATTATGCTCCTCATGTGCCAGCCTTTGATACTTGACTATTTGCCTTTTGCATTTCTCCTTTGTACTGAGAAGAAGCAGTATTGAGCTAAGTGTATAAGCAGTTATGGTAAATTAAAGTAGGAGCTTCCCTGGAATAGCTAACATACTGCAATTACCTCTGAGTAACAGAAGGCAGGGCGACTGTTGATAGTATTTACCATGGTGTATCTGGTGTCTAGTGTTAGACCACATGTAGAACACTGTGTCCAGTTTTGGGGTTCCCCAGTTCAAGGATGATTTCAATCACCTAGAGCAAGTTTAGTGAAGGGCCACCAAGAAGATCAAGGGGCTGGGGCTTGTTCATTTGGAAGAAGGTAATTATGTAGCACTGTAATACCACATTACTGTTGTTAACAACAGGCCATAAACTTAGTACTGAGGCTTATCAGACTTCCCTTTCTGGACTTTTCTTCACCTGCCTGTAGCTTTGTTTTACTTGACTTTGGGATGACAACAATTTCTCTTAACTGGCTAGGAGTCTGTGGCTAATTTGTTTTACTTCTGTTTACCTTTGGGTGGTGCAACCATAATTCTATATATATAAGAGTAATAAGCAGTTATGTTATGCAGCATTAGATATTTAACAATGTGGCGTTGAGATACATAGGCATGGTATGATAGCAGAGACCTTTAAAGTAGAAACAAAGGATATATAGCACAGAGAAGTACCAATGGATTATGGGGCACATGTATGGGACTGGAGACCCTACAGCCATATATTGGTGAGTAGTTACTTGCCGGCGATCAAGTATGTGTTTGTTGTTTGAGGGAGAAGGTGTTGCTTTTTTTGGTTGTCTGGTTTTTTGTTGGTTTGGGTCTGGATTTTAAAACAAACAAGCAAAAAAAAGCAGAATCAGAACTGGACAAAATTGTTTAGGGACTAAGAGAACAAAAACTGTATCTATTGTATGTGAAGGGCACCATATCGTCTCATCAATTTCTATGTAGCATGGAGCTGTACACATGTAGAAGCACCTTAGCAAACATAAAAAGAACCCCAAGTGGATCCTGGAGGGAGGAGGAAGAAGGGAGCAGCATATTTCTTCCAACAAAGGACTCCAGGTGCTGACAGCTTCACGTT